TAGCAGGGATTTATAAATATAGATGAAACAATGTAATCTACTTATCTCTTACATGGGGATTTATAAATATAGATGAAACAATGTTAATCACTTATCTCTTACATGGGGATTTATAAATATAGATGAAACAATGTTAATCTACTTATCTCTTACATGGGGATTTATAAATATAGATGAAACAATGTTAATCACTTATCTCTTACATGGGGATTTATAAATATAGATGAAACAATGTTAATCTACTTATCTCTTACATGGGGATTTATAAATATAGATGAAACAATGTTAATCTACTTATCTTTTACATGGGGATTTATAAATATAGATGAAACAATGTTAATCACTTATCTTTTACATGGGGATTTATAAATATAGATATGATGAATAAAGATTTATTTCCCAGATTTTGTCTCCTGAAAACATCTTACATAAAGAAACATTTTAAAACTCCTCAAATATTTGTTACCTCTGGAAGTGACCGCTGTCCAGCCATAACCAAAAACTCCAAAACGTTGTCCACACATCCCGAATCTGACAATTTCGGTTCCACTACAGGGTAAAGCTTTTTGAGATCTGATCCAAAAAGGGTGCTGCTCATAACTCCTTCTCTGGCGCTCATGAAATTGACGTTACCTCTAAGGGTATTTATCTCTCCATTGTGAGCTAGCATTCTACGTGTTTATAAAAACTAAGTTCCTCATCAGATATTCGAAAATTCCAGAAGAGCACATTTTAAAAACGTGGGTAAAATTATGAACAAAACTGTACAACAGCAAGTTTTATGTAATAACATATAAGGCTAACAAACGTCAAATGACATTTTCAGTCAACCAAGTGTATTAAGTTTAAAAGCACCGAGTTAGGTATCCAAGTAAATATTTTTTTTAAAAGTAAAATTTATAAAATCATGAAATATAGTTCACAAAACTCTAGAAAGAAACAAAAAACCCAGTAGGTCACTCGAAATAACTGCGTTACTACATTTTTGTTTTCCATACATCACACTTTAAGAACACAGCAGAAACATTCATGGGTTTAACTTATTTTTATTGTAATAAGAGAAAACAAAATACTTTAAAATTTAATAGGTAAGGTACCAAATATTTATTCCTTTACAAATATTTGACATTTAATCTATTTGTGACAAATCTACTATATAAAGACGAAAGGTTGTCCGTCTGTCACGCCGTATATATATATAATCGAATCGGCTATACACGCGACCCATGTTTGGTATTGCTGGCGCACAAAAATCATAATCGTTGACTGAAATTCTCCATTACGTTTGCTTGGTTGTCAAGGAGACGCATTGACGTTACACCACCAATGTTTTTTTTTTTTAAATCGGAACCATCGGCTACAACCCTATAATAACTCGCATGTTTTACCCGCAGCACATTTACATTTTGAAAATGTCCAAATTAAAGCGCACTCCCTCAGCTCAGCAGGCTAACAAAGCCAAAACCAGGAGAACAATCCATACAGAAGACCTCTAAATTCATAATAAAATTCACTGCCTTTACCATCACAATTAAGAATTTGCAGGGTCGTACAGTTGATCAAGTAGGAATGTGTGTGAGAGAATTAATTTTTTCGCATGTTTCAACCTATTTGAAGAATTTTTGAACATAACTTAAAAATATGCAGAAGTCAAAATGCTAACCAAGCAATACTTAAAAGAGATGACAAGACATACATAAAAATGTACTAGATTATAAATAATTTTTACAAAACACGCCCATAAAACATTTATTTAGATATAATTTTGAGAAGAAAAATTAATCATTATTTTCCGTCATACAGAGTTCTGACTCAAGTTTAAGCTACAAATTATGTATTAAAAGTAAAGCAAAATAAATATTATAAAATTAGTTTTATTGCTCTTCTCTTTTCAAATTGAACAAAATGTAGTCTTAACCCTTTAATCAGAATATGATTTGAAAATAAGTTTTTACTCTTTCCCACTCTGGCATCTTTTGTGGAAAATACGAATTGTAATCATACCTAAGAGGGTGTGCTCTCTCCCAGCTAGGAAACGTGTTAGTGGAAAATCGGGCATGAACCAAGGCTATGTAAGTTTGAAATTCGGGGTTAGACAGGTCTTTATAATATTCCCACAGTTGTCTTGATGTGAATTGGCCCTGAGTGAAATTCGTTTATTTTAATCTTTAAATACTTTCACATAGATTTTTTTAAACACTGTTCATAAACGAACTCAATGGCATACAAGAAAAAATTAAGTTGATTCAATGGTTTTTATGGCTTAGTTACTAAACATCGACTTTTTGTATAGCTAATGACTTAATATGGAGAATTTTTCTTTATTTATGTAAGCATTGTTAAAGAAAATAACAAGTAGTTATATCACAAAATAATACCGAAAGTATTGTAGTATACCTTTACAATAATAAGGGTGTTAATTTATCAGTGGTTTATAGACAAACAAGTCAATTTCTAAATCGTACCATTTCCTGGTGATTGGGGTAAACAAGGCTTGCCAAATTTACAAAGCCAGAACAAAGTTTAACAAAAAAAACATAATTTCTTGCTACAATAACGCTTAATGTATTGATTATCTTACTTTGTAAACAATCGTGTCAGTGGAAAGACTACAGATGTAAAAACGGAGACCCTCAGAAGGAATTCTGTGAGTGGCCAGCTTCCTCAACATAAACACCTAAATTTGAAGAATAAACGATAATAGTGTAAAATAATATAAACTTCAATGGCAACTCATGAACTTGTTTGATAACAAACTTAATTTCCCGAATTGACATTAAATACATTGATATTTACTTCCAATTTGAGAATTGTCGTAATGGTTTTTAATTGTAGGGCAGGTTCTTTAGGAGTATTTGCTAAAAAATAACACAAATTCCAACCCACTTAGTGCTAATAACGTTTCGTTCATTCCATTACAAATTCTTAGATTTGGTTTAATTAACATTCGCCAACACAACAGTTTCATTTACTTGCTAACTTCAAGCATATAATATGTCTTTGCCTTCTTATTCTAATGTAGTAATTTCTCTTTTATAGAAGAGTATGTGCAGTTTTTACACAACATGGTCAAGAATGTCGTCGAGTTGCTTTCGTTCTAGATACTTTTGTTCATTGTAATCCTTTAGAGATAATACCAGGTCTACCCATGGTGGTTAGGCTATAAGACTGCACCTTATGCACGGAGATCTAAAGAAGTGTCCTCCAATGATAGGTCAATTGATATCCGGACGGTACAATCTCCTTTATTTTTGAAAGGAAATGACCAGTCACATGAGTGGCACTAGTTGCTGTACGAAAGTCTGACGTAACCGATTCTACTAAGTGATGTGAGGATTAGTAAGTTGGTCAACTTGAAAATACGTCTTGGGTTTCGATAAAGAAATAGATAAGAGATGTACAGTACTTACGAGAGAAGTTGTGGTATTTTCAGTTTAAACTGATTTCGAGTAAGTTCGCTATATAATGGGAACTCGACAAGATATTGGAAAGTAGTACTGAGCTTCATTAAAACTGAGTCTGTATGTGGTAAGATATAAGTGGACTAAACATGTTGTTTAATACACAATGAAACAATCTTTATTCAAACAATACAAAGCAACCGTGGGTGCACAGCACCTTTTAAACACAATGAAACAATCTTTATTCAAACAATACAAAGCAACCGTGGGAGCACAGCACCTTTTAAACGATGGACAGTCGCCTTTACTAGAGAGGTGGATTGATCAAGTGGGTTATACTCTTAAAACTCAATATTCACCAGTCTAAACTAACAGACAAACTAAGTAAAAAACCATTAATTCAATAATCAATCAATCATCTGCAACAGGGTCGAGTTAATCATAAACTATTCTAGTGTAATTCGAGTTTTATATCATTCAAGTAGTTTCCTAAACTTTAGAAAATTCCAGACGTTTAGCCATAGGCTCATCCTTCTAGCCTAAAATAATACAAACGTATTGCTTGGATAAAGATTACATACAACAATGGCTATTCCATTGATGCTTGTACCTGTTTGGCCATGTTCCTGTGTCTGCTTCATGGAGCAGAATTTAGCTCGATTCAAAGAATGATACAGAGACTTGTGAAAGTTAGGACGAATCGGAGTTCTTTTTTTTTTTGTATATGTTTATATTTATTTGTTAGTTTCTACAAACTTTAGTTACCTAGAGTGAAATTCCAATGTATAATGAACTGACAACTTACTGTTCAGGAATAGTTGACAACACTAAGCAATAGAGATAACAGACAGTGGCTGTCGCAGAAAGAAATCTAAGTATTTAAAAATAAACTGTTCGAAAGTGCGAGGTTAGTGTTATGGTCAAATGCAGCAAATCAGTTAAATATTCAAAATGTATAATTTTACAAGAATTAATTATGTATTTTAGATATTACTAAATTGTATATTCCTCCCTCCTAACGTTTATTAAAATAGTACATAAATGGAGTTCGTATCTTATTGATTTATTTCCCAAAGACACGCATACAAACATACTAGGAGCTAAAACCCCGAATCTTATGCCTCAGATGTTGCAACTCTTGAAAATATATTTAAAAATTGGTTAGTTTACTTTATCGGATGCTTAACAGTTCATTGGCCCATAAAAACAAAAAACACATTAAGCAAGCTATTTTCAATCTCCTCTATGTTTACCCATTCTTACAAGGCACGTGTCCTACATATCCGCTACATGGGGTAAAATGCCAACTGTCTTGCGACATTATAAATTTTTGGTAAATACAACCACACTCAGTAGTACAATTAGTTATATATACATAAATGAATATGGGCGAGGGTTGGTCCGGTGGCAGTACATTTTGGAGCTCTGTGTGTGTGTGTGTGTGTGTGTGTGTGTGTGTGTGTGTGTGTGTGTGTGTGTGTGTGTGTGTGTGTGTGTGTG